TACGCCGGCTACGATCGCCGAAGCTGTACACGAATCAGCGCCCAAACTCAGCTCCACCACCCGCAAGAACTCCGAGTCCTCACGAACCCAACCTGCGAGTGCTGTAAATTGAGTAACTGGACCAGACTGTGCAAAACCCCACGTTACTGGGGCGTAAAACTCCGCGTTATTGGGGCGTGAAACCCCTCGAGCAAGCAGGGACGGCTTTAGGGGACGACAATCGCTCCTCCCTTCCCAACAGCACAGCTCTCCCCCACGTCCTACCCCTTTATTCACTCACCAGGGTCCTTCCCCTGTTTCCTTCCCCGCTCACTGAACCAGACCCATCCCATTGGGGTTTTTATCCTGCAGCTGAAAGGAGAAAGCCCAATTCTGGACGCACAAAACTTCCCACTCGTCTGGCCGAGAGGTGCTTTGAGGCAAACGTCACCTTTTTTTACCACCCAAGAGACACCAGCAGCAAACACGAGGTGCGTGCTCGTGGTAGAAATATATACATATGTGCATATATACATACATACACACACGATGCTGCCGTCCCAGGCCTACAGCGCGGCTACCGACCTTGCTCTGGGGGCTCACCGAGTCCCAGTTCGGAGACTACGACATAAACACAAGGAAATCAAAGCCCAACTCAGCGCATCGCCCACGTTTCAAACGCCCCATGGAGCGGCCTGTGCGAGCCCAAGTCAATCCAGAGCCAGGCCCTTGCCCTCCTCGGGAAGGGAAACTGAGGCAGGGCAAAGCCCAGCTCCAGGGACAAGGCAGAATTCAAGTAAATCGGGAAGATTTTGGAAAGGTACAAGAAGCAACCGCGCACAGACTGCGAGAGGGGGCACCCACACGTGTGGCTGCGGGGGACAGGGAGCAGAGGAGACAACAGCACTCGCGAATGAATGGCCACTTATAGAAGAGCTTCCCCTATCCATATACACATATATATATCTCTCTAACCTCCAGAAATTCCCAGCATCCAGCCTTTTACCAGCAAAATCAGCCGTGCACGCAACGTTGGCATCCGATTTCCAAATGAAGGTTTGGCTTCTGGATTGATGGCGTTTGGGTTTGTGCAAATATCAAGGACTGGCAGCTTCCCCCACGCTGCTGCTTCTGGTAAAGCAAGCATCTTCTTGGAAAGAAATGGGAATTTTGGTCTCACCGCATCCCAGACAAAGCAAAAACCTCCTGCAGGCCACGGCTCTTGCGGGCCCTGACCAGTGCCAAACTTCCTGCCACCTTGTGAGCCATCACTTGCACTTCTTTCGAGGTGTTTTGAGTTGTTGGTGCCACGATACGCCACACGCGGGATGATGGCCACGATGATACAGAGGAGCGGCATCGAATGGTTAAGCACGTAGAGTTCACACCGACCTTACGCTATAAACACTTGTGTGGGGTGGGGGGTTATGGTTCAGTGCTCGAAGATTCGTGTGAATTTAAACAGCATCCAGAATGACACGAGGCAGAGGCTGCAAACGCCTCCCTGGCCGCCTGGCGAGAGTCTCCGGCTCAATGTGACACCAGCACCCAGTTGTACTGGGTGGGAAAATCCTGCAGCACAGACACCACTTCCTAAGTGATCTGGAAGAGGCACAAACACCGAAGGGCAGCGGACAAACCGAGGGCACAGAGGAGTTGAGAGAAACGGGGACCTCCCTCAGGGAGCGCATCCAACACCAACGCTCTGCTGTAATAACCCCCAAAAACCTTCTCCTCTCGGGTGGTTCAGGCTCCTGTGCTCGCCCACACCTCGAAGAGCATCACATCTGGAGAACACCACGAGCACTGATATCTAAAGCAGTTTAAAAACACGACAAATGGGAAAAGGAGACTTGAAAAGGTAACGTGGCTCTAAAACGTCAGCAGAAACCTACACCCTAACCGGGCTCAGCCACCGAGGCTTACAGAAACACACGGATATACAGATAAATAGCGAAGAGTTTCCTACAGACGTCTCTAACAAAAACGAAACTGGCATTTGACGGGTGCGACGCCCCCTTCGTTCACTTCAAGTGTACGACTCCGTGCAGTGCAGTGCGTTGGGGACGTCCCCATCCCCCAGGGAGGACGGGGACCGCGGGTCCAGCACCACCTCCTTCTTCAGGAGGTACCTGAGCTCTCTCTGCAGGAGCTTTCCCTGCTCACCTTCATCTACCAACATTTCTCCACGCAAAACAGCTCGGGAATAAAGCCAGCGATATTTAACAGCTCTCCGGATCCAATTCTCCCCAGTGCTCCTCGTCAGGAAGAGCTACAAGTGCTAAGAAAACTGGGGTTGCAGAGGTTCGATGAGCGAGGTGGAGGGGGCCGAACTGCTGAAGCAGAGGTCTCAGGCAGCTTGTACAAAAGGATACGACTCTTTTTTTTTTAAAAAAATAAAACAACAAAACAATAAATCAAAGCTCAAGTTTGCGTTCTGGCGACACGCTCAGCAGCACTCAGGCTGAATTTTGGAAGGAAACATTCTGCATGTAAGGCAGGTAACGGGGCTGCGGGGCTGCGATGCTGCTCTGGCGGGGGGCACTGCCCCTCCAGCCGCCCCAGCTCAAGAGCTACCAGGTTGTTTTGCCGTTATTTCCAATACAATTTTGCATTCGCTAGGATTTAACTTGGTCGTTTTGAAGTGCAACTCGGGCTGTACCTGACCTACAGGAAAACAGTGGGCATTATACTTTATATATACACTTATATGTATGTGTATGTATGTGTGTGTGCATATATACATACATATATATATATACATGCACACACACACACTTATCAGCCGGTTTCACGGCTGATTCGATGCCTCCATCATTTCCAGCTCGTGCAATAACAGTGTGAAAGACATTTGGAGAGATCTGCTGGTGGGAGAAGCCCCCTCCGTTTTCTGATGGTTTCATTACGGTGCTTGACCCCAAAAGAACACCTGGATCTGGCCAATTCCACAAGTTTTGTTTGAAAGCAGCGATGTTTAAGTAGCTTTCTTGCAGAGTTCAAGAAGAACCACGTGAATACTCAATAATGTGAAATTCAAACATTATAGAGCAACGCGGGCAAACTTAACACAGCCTCAAAACCCCCAAATATTCATCCAAAAGCAGATTTCTCCTGGATCTCGTTGTCTCCCAAGGTACAGGGAACGGCACCGCCTCTGCTCCTCGTTTGCTGCCCGCATTTCGGTTCTGCTGTGGAGTGACTCCAGGTTTTATCACACCTCCGCCAGCCTTTCCAGTGGTGGAAGGAGCCCAGAGGGGTTAAGAGATAGAAAATTATTCCAAATTAACACTGACAACAGCCCCCTGCATTGGGGGTCACAGCTGCTCCGCAGCAACGACCAAAACAACTGGGTTTGTGGCACCCAGCGTGGGGACACAGAGGGTGACAAATGACAGCGACAGGAAAACGGCCTTGTCCTCCTTGTGCCGAGTCTCTCCGATCGACCGCGCTCATTTACAAAGCCAAAAACCCCCTAAAAGTTAATTATTTTTGTAATCAAAACCGTAATTTGCACAGGTAAGGGCAATTTTACCCAGGGAGGCCTCAAGGGACAAAGCCTGCAGATATTCAAGCAGATTCTAGCGTGAAATTCAACATCAAGAACGGGCTCCGGGCAGCATCTACCAGGGCAGCCAACGCGGCGTTAGGGTTTTTTTTAAGCCTCAAATTTGCTTCTCATTCCAACAAAGACTTTTAATTCAATAAGGACCTCAACCTGAATCGTATACCTCTGTCCTCAAGGCCACCTACAAGAGATTTGCAGGTATCTCCCAGCAAACCACCACGTTTCAGGTCTAAAAGGACCACGGGCGAGAAAGAAACGATTGCACAAGTGAAATCCAGGCAGGAGGTTAAAAGTGACGCTCCTTTCTTGCATTTTTGGGACCCGATGTGGTATCATCAGCCTGCTCATTTGCAACAAGCTCATGCAGGCAATGACCCCGTGCTTGCACCAAGAGCTACGGCAAAGTCGGATCTTGCAAACAGCCCCCGCGTCGAGACCGCATTAAGAATATTTTATCTGTCATCATTAACGCGGTTTCACGGCTGATTCGATGTCTCCATCATTTCCAGCTCGTGCAATAACAGTGTGAAAGACATTCGGAGAGATCTGCTGGTGGGAGAAGCCCCCTCTGTTTTCTGATGGTTTCATTACGGTGCTTGACCCCAAAAGAACACCTGGATCTGGCCAAAAAGCAGCACAAAACGCCCCGAGAGCAAACGCCTCTCAACAGAAACAGGCAAAAAAACGAAGATACAAAGGACAGCAGAGGCATTGCAACAGAAAATCATAGAGATTCAAACTAAAGAGGCTGGAATTAACCACTGAAAGTGCCATGTGTAGCTGTTTAGATCCCAACTCCGCATCAAAACCACGACTATTAACAACAAAATACACCAGCAATTCAGCAGCTGCCTGAAAAGCTCCTTTACCAGTTACATCTCAATACAACAGAGTTTCCAGAGCAGCACTGAAACAGGATTTGGTTCTGAAATAGTAAAGGAAACCCTTTGAGTTCCATGTTGTTCTGAAGAAAAGCAAAACACCGGTGTAAACAAGTCCGAATGCAAGACAACGTGCGGATGACACAAGAGAAACACAACGCTGGTTTGTTCTCAGAAAGCCGTTTCAGTACTCCCCCAAGATGGCCATGAGAGAATTAAAGGGCTAGAGTATTAGAAAAGCTTTAAAAAAGAGACATGAAATACCCCATTGAGACCTCAAATCGGGACTGATTTTTTTTAAAACCAATTCTTTCTAAAACGTTTACGCCGTTGCACGCAGCCTGGGCACAATTCCCCCCGCTGAGATTCTCACGCACTGAAAAAAGCTGCACTATTTGGTCTTTAGCACTTCGGGAAAACGACTGCACTCAAACCAAACCAGAACCGTGCTTGCAGTTCAACTCCCACCGCCAAAACAAGCCCGTTCGCCGCTGGATTTTGAGACATTCCCTCTGCAGGTCGCCTGGGATGTTACCTTACTCTTCGAGGATGGGAAACTCTCCCTTGTTATTTTTCAAGGTAGGTTTGTTCAGGCTGAAAAATCAGCGTTAAAGAGAACTCCAGCTCTGCGGGACTGGCTTTTTTTTTTGGTTCTTGGCTTTGTAAACTTGCTTTGAGGACAGCGCAGGAATGGGAGGACAAATAAAAGAACTGGTTTGTTGCACTCAAATGATAACCATGAACTTTTACAACCTTCGACAGCTCAGCTGTACGGAAAACTGGTGGCTCCTGTGACACTTTTGAAATCTCATTTTTTAGGCCGGTACCACTGCTTAAAATGCAGAATGTCTCCATCACACGGATATTGTGACAACTCAATACGTTACACCACGGACATTTAACGTAACTCCATACATGCTATAAAAAAAAAAACCCCAACGGAACGGGAAGAAAAAAAAAACCAAACAAGAAAGAAAGGAAACAAAATCAGACCGTAGCTAAACTGCTTTAAATACTGCATGCTACAGCACTTCACGTATCGTCAAGATACGACACTGAAAGGTGACAAAAGGCTGAAGGGATTACAAAATCTTTTCGGCAGGTTGGAAAGCTGCCTTCTTACTGTGGCAGAATTATTCCCCCTCCCCGTTCTCTACTTCTAATGTTCATGATTCTAGTGTTGAGTTGGCCATGTATTTTTTGTTTTTATCCGTTCTAATGAGAGTGGTTCCTTAACTTAATTAAATCCATCGGTGTGGTAGCTGGGGTGGGAGTCAGCTGTGAGCTGGGTTGTCTCTGTGGCTGATGCTGGCTGTATCACGATCGGTGCGTCTGAGGCCTCTGCAAAGGGAGGATGAGAGGTTTAGCACACCAAAAAAACCCCCAAACAGCACTGAATGATTTGGTAAGCAGATGTTATATCTCCCTGCAACACTCTGATAACATCATTTTACGCTCCTCTAAGAGCCTGATGCTTTTTAAACAGCATTTACTGCTTTCCAGCCTGCACACAATACATGTGGAACATCTATTTTCTTTCCATTTTCATGTTAAAGCAGCTGATCCTCACCCACCCTTCAGCAATGCCTGTTAAAAACACGATCAGAGCGTGCACAAGGCTCTCCAGTTTTTTAAAGGATAAGTTTAATCCTACAGAAATAGCATTGTACCTTCATGAAATCATTAGACGTAGCTACTAGGGTAGCAGTCCTGTTTCCTTTACACCCTGATGCAGTTAAAGCTGCCTTGGCACCCACATCCTTTGGGGTAAAATTTATACAATCACGCATGTCTGGCTGGTGCATTACTCCAGTGACATGGGAAGGAAGATAAATGATGGTCACCTCCTGCTCTGAAGCAGAGCCCAAGCTCTGTGAAGATGCTCCAGGAGTTGTCAGCAACCATAGCTCTGGTGTTAGCGTTACCCACTGAACTCCTGTGCCACAACTCCCCAGCCACCATCCACCATCTGAGACCTGCTCCTCAACCAGCACACGAAGCGCTCGGGCAGAAAGTGAGGGTCATTTCAGGGATTTCTCAGCAGTTTCACCTACCCCTTTCATCTGACTGCAACTGTGCCTCCAAGTCCTCTGGAGAGACGTAGTATTCCTGCTCCTCGCCTTCGGGAGGTTTAGGTTTACACTTCCCACAGCAACAGTTACAGCAGCAGCAGAGACAGCAGCAGCAATAGCAGCCTGTGACGAGCCCACAGAGCACAAACAAAGCCTGCAGAGGAAACAAAGAAATATTCATAACCTGTGCCTACCATGAGCGACCACCGAGTGTGTGAGGCTCGGGGATGGAAATCAGAGACCAAAATCATAGCAATGCACAGACAGAGCTGACTAGCTGCATTTTTTGTACTTCATCACCAAGATATATTTCAAAATATGTGCAAGACTGGCTGCAGCTCTCAGCGTTTTGCACTGAGGTGAACAGTGCCAACCTGATACACTTGAAAAATTCCTATAATTTAGGTTTAAATGGACTATTCTGCTACATCTGCAAGAAGACACAGGTCTAAGAAGCGTATCTGCATTACGTACAATATTTTAGGACAGCCTGTAGCTTGCATAAATAACCCTGGAGAAGATTTACGGTAGCTAGTTGACGATGTACCTGCAGCAGAGACTTCAACCTACCCAAGGCTGCAGGCAGGTTTTAATGAGCCATAAAGCACTTTGAACACCACCATCTCACTAAACAAGTAAATCGGCGCAGTTATGGGTTCACGCTTCAGTTTCAGTCACGCTGCCTTATATACAATAATATTATGTATTCATGTACTCATTACTTTCTGTGCAAGCAGACTGCAAACACACAAACTCCAAAATGCAAAAACCTGGGCCATTTCGGTACAGGGAACGTGTGATGTGAAACGCAGGGGGGTTTTTGCACTCCTGAGTAATTTTTAAATGAATCAAAGGACAGAAGTATATTACACTTAAAAATTATTCACGCCCAGTAAAATACTGTAATTCCTTGGTGCTGGTAGAAGACTCCTAGAAGACATCTATCAAATAATTACATCTACTGCATGCATGCATTTACCTTTGCCCACCAACTGGAAAGCACGAAGTACGTGTTCACATTCTCTTCACCAAACTGCTCTGCTACATACAGCCCCAGAGACCCATACTTATCATAAATGTTTCGCTTTGTGGCATCGGTCAATATTGCGTGTGCATTATTGATCTCTTTAAATTTTTCTGCCGCCTCTGGGTTATCAGGGTTTTTATCAGGATGATATTTCAGTGCAAGTTTCCTGCAGAAAGGGAAATAAAAATCATTCTAGATTAAATCTATGCTCTAATGATGCTGGATCTCTTATAACTAAACGACAGCAGCTTACAGTCCCTGGAGGTCTCTGAACATAGCACCAAAAAAATCAGATTAAGCATTGATAAATATGCTCATCGTGACGTGGTCCAGGCTAAGTCAGTAGAAATAAATGGTCAAACACCTCCTTATAAACAGAGAAAAACGCAGTTTTAACATCTGAGCTCATTTCGCTTTGCAGTGAGGGAATATTCAGACAGACATAACATGAAGATTTGTGCAAGCACACATTTGGATGCACACAGGAGTAAATCACAGCATCTAAATAATAAACTGAGCGTGCACCTGAAACACAAACTGTCAATGATGTTGCTCAGGTAAATAAGGTCCAAGGTTGCCACTCCTGCTGTGTGTGAGGATTGAAACCATCAGAGTTTTGATAATTAGAGGCAATTTATTAAGGGACCCAATTTATTCAGAGATTTCATCATGCAGTTGCCAAGAGCATTAAAATGTGACTTTGAAAGGGAAAAAGTTTTGGTCAGTGTTGAAGACCAAAAGGAAACGGCTTCCAAACAGTGAATCCTCAAGTGAAGATGGCTGCTGACACCTCGTGGGACGTGGATAAACTGCAACTTGTCAAACGGTCCTCAAGGCCATAGCTCGCGCTGAAGGTAAAGGAGCAACTGCATTTAAGCAGATTTTGGGGGAACGTGGCAAACGAGGCCGTTACAAGACTCATTTTTTATTGTTTGCTTTTGTTTGGTCAATGTTAAGCCACTTCATGTGCCTAAGTCCTTAAAAAATAAAGTTAAAAATGCTATTTTAAAATAGTGACTGGACACAGAGTAAGAAATTTTGAATGGATTTCTAGGGAAAAGTCACTGCTGACACAGTTTGCATCTTTAATCTACTCCTCACTGTGCCAGTATTAGAAATTGTGGAGAAAAGGGCAATACTGCCCATCTGTGGTCTCTGTAAGCCAGACACAAGGCTACGCATCATGAAGAATTTAACTCTGATCACACTGTCTTACAGCTCTGTTCAACTTTAGATAAAGACCTCTGCCAAGTGACAGTGCAGACTTGAGAATTTAACTTACGAGAGACGAGATGTACAAATTTAACAGCACTTATCTATAACCTAGGCAGGTTTTTACACCAGTTTCTGCAAGAAGCAACCTGGTTTCATGTTTTTTTTTTTTTAAAAAAAGGTTTAAATAAACCAAATTGAGTCTACATGTGAATATGCCATCAGTTGAGCACTTAAAGCTCTTTGTGCCGTAGGTGTAAAACGTGAACCTTTACCTGTAGGACTTTTTGATATCGTCTGAAGTGGCGTTCTTGTCCAAGCCCAGCACGTGGTACAGCGATTCCCCAGAGGTCGAGAGCGAACGTTGCCTCTGGTCTGCCATGGTGCACTAACCTGAAGGGAGAACCAGCCCCTGCCAAAAACAACAGAGGAAGAAATGCTTAAACAAAGAACATCACAGACCTCGTGAGTAAAATCAGCCTTGAAACCAGTTCCCACGTCAAAATTCATCGTTTATAAGGTTCAAATGTGCTTTGAAAAGGCTCTTAACATACGTGGAAGTTAAAAAGTTACAAAGCTCAGTGAATTATGAGTGAAAAGACCTATGACATGTTCAGCACAGGCACCCTAGAATCAATACTGGGTGTACTCGACTCCATTCCTGCCTGAACCCCCAGATCAGCAGCCGAGGTACAGCTATAGATTCGTACCACATACACATCCCCAAAGCTACTTCATCTTTCTTAGTCTTAAGATAATTTGTTTGTGAGAATACCCACAAGAAACAACTTGACAGGTTGCTATTACCTTGAGGCTGCCTTCTTGCACCACACTTGCATAGGGATGATATCATTTGTATTTTCAATTGCATACGTTTCGCTACGTTAAAAAAAAAACCCAGCCCCAAACCTCTACCACCTCCCAAAACCCCAGCCTCCCATTTCATTGCTGACACCAGAATCCATCAGATAAATCCAGTTTGACCGGGCCAGCGCGTCCCACTATGAAATAGGAATGCGTGCCCACTTCAATAGGGGGAACTCTTAATAACTTAAAGCTGTGGCTCGCACATACTTTCTAGTTAAAATCCTACTACTTGAATAAGAATGAACCTCCTGCTTCAGATTCAAACGCGAAGACCCTCATGGTGTCCCCTGTGCCCCGCCAGGGACAGCCATGGTTACGTCCCCTGACACCCTGAGCAGATTAGCACTGCTGGACGGCAGCGGGGATGAGCATCGGAGAGAGGACTACTGGCTATTTTGGGATTAAGTCATTACAGCGAGCCCACACCAGATTATGCAGCCTTTGAAAAAGATATTTAAAGCACCCGACATTTCTAATTTAACCCTTTACCTTACATAAGAGCTTTTAAAAGGCCACCTGAAAGCAACACCCTTCAGACACCGCATCGTGCGCTGCCCGGATCCTGGTGTGACCTCACAGTGTTGAGATACTGCACAAAACCCACAGTTCTGATTCCACCACCGTAGAACCCACGTGTGGACACCGATACAGAGCCCACCCTTAACAACTCCTCTGCATTTGGCTCCTCCAACTTCACACCAGTTTAGCACTGGGTGCCGTGTCCGGTTTCTTGGACTGGGACACACAGGTTAAACCAGCAAACCCTCATCCAATTTTCCTCTTGGGCAACTGTGGTAAGTTTAATTAAAGGCTACCTAATAAGGAAGCTATAAATTATTATTATTGAAGACCTAAACTCTAATGGTTTGGCTAAGAATTCAAAATACTCCAACTCTGGAAGGTGAATGTGTGGGTAGGGAGAGAAAATCTTTTATTTTAAAGGATACCGTTCAGCTACCAAAAGGAAAATTAAGTTGAAGTCCAAAAAAACCCCCCAAAAAACTCACCTTGGTTGAGCTTTTACACGTTAATTTAGAGCTTTCAAAGGCATTGCTTCGAACTGGAGCTTCAAGGGCGTTGTGAACGTTTGTGTTGTTTAAATATCTGTAGCTGTACTTAAGCTTCCTTTAACATCCATCCAACGTGCCCCTGGTGCAGATGCTGCACATCACAGGTACGCACTATGTTCTCCTTAACGCAATCCCCACTACCGAATTAGGGCCAATTTGCTTAATAAAACTGAATTCAAGTCGATGCAGGCACCATCTATCAGTCTGCCTGCCAAGAACAGAGACAGGCATAGGAATAAAATTCCTTGTCGCTGCGATCTTGAACGGCTTTAACGTGAGCAGTTCAGGGTCTGTGGAGTTTGCTGTGATGGGGTGTTTGCACCTAGGTTTGGAAACGGGTATGGAATGGGCAGAAGAGCAGAGGACAAGGTGGGAATGGGAATTCAGCTGGAAAGCTGGTTACTGGAGGGAACAGAAAAGTCGTATTTCTAGGAACGCAACCTTTGGCTTTTCAAATATGAAGCAGACAATGAAGGTGCAAGTTATTTAAGTTTAGGGCCCTTCACAAACCAGGATGTTGTCTCTCCCGTTGTTTTGACAAGTGGCTCTAATTCACGGTACTGAAAGCTGCTCTGTATTTGTAAGAAGCGGTGTATTCAGCAGCAAGGAGCCATCTGCTGCACACTCGAACCAAGCAGGATGCCCTGAAGAGGTTTCTCTGGGAGGAAAGGTAATCCCCTGGATTAAACTGCACAGTTTTTAACCATCTGTGTACCAGAATATCCTACGTTAGTCAGCTTTCCCAGAAAATACAACTGCTTTTGGCATGACCAGGTACGTATCATTGGTACCACCTTGCAGAAAAGACTTACCCTAAACCTGACAGCTTCTATGGAAACCAGATTTAACATTTTAAATGCATAAACAATAAACTGAACCTTAAAAAGGCTGCTTTTCTGGTGATATCTTCGTTTCTGCCAGGTCTGCTGACCCGTTCTAAGTTGTATTAACTCACTGAAATGGCAAAGTATTATTACAGCCAAGAAAAATGCAGAGTTCATCGCCAGTTTAGGGAATTAAATCCCAACTGGGTGTTGGATCCCAGCATCCAACGAGGAACCGCCTTGCAGCAGCGATGGAGGGTGAATTCGACGGGCAGTATCACCCACGTTTCAGAGTGGTTAGCAGCCAAAAGCAGGTGAAACATTAAGTATTTATTCATTAACAAACCTGTAGAAACCATCAAGCACCAAGTTGCCTAAAACACCACTTTTCACAAACCTCATTAATCCTGTGTATTCTTCCACGCAAGCCACAAGGGCACAGCCACTCACCTGAACTTCCTCACTGGAGGAAAGGCTGCGGTTTAAAGGGGCTGTGGTTGTTCAGCTGCACCGATACAAATCAGAAGGGGCAGGGGAAAATCAAACACCATTCACTTTAAAAATACCAGGAGATCATTCATTTTTCAAAGATTTCCAGTGGAGAAAACCAGCTGCAAGAGTTAATCTTAAACTAAACTATTCGATCTCAACCAGTATTTTACTAGGAAAAGTCTAAATAAAAACACCAAGCCAGAAGACACTTCAGTAAATGTTGATTCATCACAAAAGTGAAGTAGCACCACTGGTCTCCGCATCCTGTCCACCTGTCCCAGGTTCGTTTAGAGTTGCTCTCACAATGTGGTATTTTTCTAGGCTGAAAAAAGCAATTTTTAAAGGAGAAAGCAGAGAAACATGCAAGCATACATGATAAAAATAAAAACGCATGGTGTTTTAAGCCTGGCTTTGTGAGGTAGTCGAGATTTCTATAAGAAACTGTGAACTTTGTTTCCTCAGCATTGTTTTGCACTTACATGAGTGGTTTGGTTTCTTTCAGCTAAAAGGAACTAAAAAATACACTACTTACCTTAGAATATTCAGACTAGATACCGGGTAAGTGGTAACGGGCTCCACACACCTCTAGAAGGGAATCTCCTACAGACAAAAGAAAAGCAAATTGATTATTCACCAATTCATTTGTTGTGGGCTTACGAGAAAGTTATCACATTATTTTATTATATCAACCCTTCATAACAGGCTAAAGGCAATACGGAAGTGAAATGTAACCTTAAATGTTTATATAGGCTTTTCACTTAAAGCAGGGAAGTGTTGAAGCCCCCGGGAACGCAGACGCACGCTGCGGTCTGGATGCATTCAACGGGCAGGCACCTTCCCATGGCACGCTCAGATGGCACCAGAAAACACGTATTTAAAGCCTGCATTTAAGTATTTTCATTATTCTTTCACTCAAACGCCACCTTGATGTGAAAATCCAGGATAAAACGCTACTGCCCAAAGTATTTTATGCTACAGTAAGTCTCCACAATGTAAAAACTTCTCTTTAGAAAGGATTAGCTGTTAACAGATATTTTAAAGTACAGATCCAAGGGCTCTATGCTTTTATTTGTAGCTTCAGCCTCTTTTCCCAACCCTTTTCCCACGAGCAAGACACACACTTATCTAAAATAAAGATACCAGTGGCACAGAAACGCTAATCATCGTTATCTCTTTAAGACTTTGGACTTTTTCAAGTCGGGCATTTGTGAGCTATCTGTACTTAGAACAGGAGAAGTGTGTTTTCCAAGTCTCAATAATCTGTAATGTTGTTAGAGAGAGCCCGCTAAAGCGGCTTAACTAACGCAGCTCCAGCACCCGAGCAGCGGCCAAACACCACACCGAGAGCTGCAGTGGCCCTCGGGTGCCTTCACGGCAAATAAACGGCATTTTTAAATGGACAAAGGGGCCTAGGAAATGCTAGGGAAATATTTAGGGAAAAATCAGTGCAACGGATTAAAATATCTTTCTGATTAAGCAGGCACAGGATACGTCTGATCCATGTCATTAATCACCAAGTCACTTATGCACTGGATTACTGGATGGTAAACTTCAGGAGTGGGACAGCAAGTCATGGCTTAGCCATCATCTGAGACCCAAACCAATCGCCCTCCGAGACCCAAACCGATCGCCCTCCGAGACCCAAACCAATCGCCCTCCGAGACCCAAACCCTTCGCCCTCCGAGACCCAAACCCATCGCCCTCCGAGACCCAAACCCATCGCCCTCCGAGACCCAAACCCATCGCCCTCCGAGACCCAAACCCATCGCCCTCCGAGACCCAAACCACCCTCCAAAACCCTTTCAACAGATTCCAAAACCAAGCTCTGAATGCACTTGAGAAATAAACTTTCCAGCCAATTAAAAACTACGTATTTCATGAACTTGAAGGTTTTGGTGTAACAGAGATGCTGGGAATTCACCCCCTGAGCTGTGGGCATTGACCACACAATTTGCTTTATGCAATCTAAGAAGCTCCTTGATCTTCACAGCATATCCAGAAACGAGTAATGAACCAATCAAGTCAATTATCAGCTTACATTGATGGATCTATTGAGCTCATTCAATAGACACCATCAAGGACTTCTCCTGAGACATGAAAGGCAGGGAGTGCACAAACTGCAGGCAGAATTTAAACTTTCACACTCAGTGTG